CACCAAAAAAACCCCAAAAATCCAAAAAAAAAAAACCAAACCAAACCAAACCAAACTATACAGAGATTTTTTTTTTTTTTTTTTTTTGATTCTTTCACGGGCAATTCAGCTCACTTTGCTCAACATTCATTCATTCATTCATTTTTTCCACCAAAATGGTCTTTTGGTATTTATTTGTTGTAAAACTAAAGTAGTGGTGGTGGTGGTGGTGGTGGCGATGATGGTGGTGGTAGTTGGCGGTGTGTGTATGGAACAACAACAACAACAACAATCTGTATACATATCAAGCGCAGCTTTTTCAATTTTCGCTCATCATAACAGAACAGAATTGTCAGAATGAAATGATTTTTTGTTTCCCCCACCTTTTCCCCCACTCCTGTGATTGATGTCTGTTGATGAGAATCTTTTTCTTCTGAATTTGTTGATGATGATGGTGGTGATTCTTATTCTGGCCAAAATGAACAAATTTTCTTTGAATAATTTAAAAAAAAAAATAAGATTCTTTCGGAATTCTTTAATTTTTTTGGTATCCAAAAGAATCAGCGCCATCATTCGTTCGTAAGCTAAACTATAGTTTTGATTTAACTATTTTGACTTTTCAAGTAACATAAATGTTATTTTTGTCATTTTTGTCAATCACATTGAAATGACACAGAGCAAAAAGAATTGAAATTTTTAGTTTGTTTGTTTTTGCGAATTTTCAAACCAAATCTAAGAAAATCATTCAAATCTCTCTGTGTAATAGTTTTTCAAATTACGAAATCCACTGATAAAAATAAACACCATAAAGGTATATCCTGGTTGCAAAAAAAAAACTTGTTTTGTTTTTCTATCTATAGAAATTCAAATCGATTTGACATTGAAATATTACTAATATTTTTTTCGTTTTTCTTTTTTCTTGATAAACATTTTCCAATCACAATTATTGATAGATAAGATAACGATTACGATTTTGGTTGCTTTGCCGCTACCGATATATATTTCAATTCAATCCTCTTCTAATCAAAGTTTTTTCTTTCTCTCTCTTTCTTTCGAAAAGAAAAATCATTCGATATTCATTCGAAAATGTTCATTCAACATTCACGTTCAACAATTAATTCATATCGTTCATTATTGATTGCTATACGATCTACAGCTAATCAAATTGAACGACGAAAATCATTATTATTGTTGAAAAATTCAAATAACCATTATTATTCTACAACATCTAAATTATTGGATCAATTATCACCGAAATCAATATCAATATCAATAATCAATAAAAGAAATATGTCCGATTATCGTGAAGAAAAAGATACAATGGGTATTGTTCGTGTACCATCGGATCGTTTGTATGGTGCACAAACACAACGTTCACGTGATAATTTTCGTATTGGTGCCGGACAAAATTGGGATGCCGAACAAATGCCCAAACAAATTATTCATGCATTTGCTATATTGAAAAAAGCATGTGCACGTGTTAATCAATCGTATGGTGAATTGGATGAAAAATTAGCTACCGCTATACAGAAAGCATGTGATGATGTTTTAGAAGAACGTTTACCGGTAAAAGATGAATTTCCATTAGTTATTTGGCAAACTGGTAGCGGTACACAATCAAATATGAATTGTAATGAAGTTATTGCTAATCGTGCATCAGAAATTCTTGGTTAGTTAGTTTTTTTTTTGTTTAAAAATCTGTATAAATTATAACTTTTAATGTTTTTTCTTTGTCGGTCAGGTGGAAAACGTGGTTCTGAACGTTTAGTACATCCAAATGATCATGTTAATAAATCACAATCATCAAATGATACTTATCCAACTGCAATGCATATTGCTGCTGCTATTGAAGTTAATAAGGTATTAATACCTGCATTAGAAAAATTATATCAATCATTAATGGCTAAACAAAATGAATTTGATAAAATTATTAAAATTGGTCGTACACATTTGCAAGATGCAACACCATTAACACTTGGTCAAGAATTTTCTGGTTATTCGGCACAAATTCAATTGGGTATTGATCGTTTGAAATCTGCTCTGGAACCACGTGTTTATTATTTGGCTATTGGTGGTACTGCAGTTGGAACCGGTTTAAATACACGTGTTGGTTGGGATAATGATGTTTGTCGACAAATTTCCGACATAACTGGTCTGAATTTTCGTCCAGCACCAAATAAATTTGAAGCATTAGCATCACATGATGCTATGGTTGAATTATCTGGTGCATTAAATGTATTGGCTTGTAGTTTGAATAAAATTGCTAATGATATACGTTTATTAGCAAGTGGACCACGTTCTGGTATTGGTGAATTATTATTACCTGAATTAGAACCTGGTTCATCAATAATGCCCGGTAAAGTAAATCCAACACAATGTGAAGCAATGACAATGGTTTGTGCACAAGTTCAAGGTAATCATGTTGCAACAACAATTGGTGGTACACAAGGTCATTTTGAATTGAATGTTTTTAAACCAATGATGGCTGCTAATGTTTTACGTTCATCAAGATTATTAGCCGATGCTTCGGTTTCATTTACAAAAAATTGTGTTGATGGTATACAAGCAAATGAAAAACGTATTGAACAATTAATGCGTGATAGTTTAATGTTGGTTACTGCATTAAATCCACATATTGGTTATGATAATGCTGCTTTAATTGCAAAAACAGCACATAAACAAGGTGGTAATCTTAAAGATACTGCAATTAAATTAGGTCTGCTAACTGCTGAACAATTTGATCAATGGGTACGACCAGAAAATATGGTTGGACCAAAGAAAAAATAAAACAAAACACCAAAACAACAACAACTTTTGGATCCCGGAAAAAATTTTTAAAAGAAAAAATTTAACTGAATTTTTATTTTTTTTTTGTGAATTTTTAAAAAGAGAAAGAAAAACAAACAAACAAAAGAAAAGAGAACAACATTTGTTTTGTCGAAAAAAAATCAATAAATTTTTTGTTTTTTGTTTCGGGTGAATTTCGAAAATTATATTAGTTTCAATGATGATGACATGATGATTACATGAAGATTTTGGATTTTTTGGAATTTGTGAAATAGTGCGTTGCTCGTTTTTGATGAAACTTTTTTTTTCACTAAAGGCAAATTGCTTTTCTTTTCTTTTGAGCTAAAGAAGAGTTATGTTTGAAAAAATCTATGAATTTCTTTGTTTTGTTTTCTAAGCAAAGCATAAGCCCAACAACAATAACCAGGGGAAAAAATGATGGATTATATTTGAATGTAGGAGAGGAGGGAGGATGGCCAAAAAATTAACGTTTTGCATATTTCATTTATACGATATTATAATTAAATGATAATGTTGATGATAACGATGAAAAAAGGATCCAGAATTTTTTTGAAAAAAAGGAGAAAAAAGCCATTCCAAACAAACAAAATTTGAAAGCAATTTGGCGGTTTTTTTGCCGTTGTTGTTGATCAAATTCCGAAATTGAAATTGAAATGAATCAAATCGAAACGTACATCCAAAAAAAAAATATTAAACATTATCATCCATAAGCCATGTTTGTCTGTCTGATTTGCTCATGCCAATAAAAAATTTTTTTTTAAAATTATTTAAAGATTATTGATATAAGTATAAGCCTTTTGTTGTTGTTGTTGATTGCTGTTTTCTGTTTCATTTTCAAGCTGTTTAAAAAAATCGAAGAGAGAAAAAATTAATTAAACGTGCAAATTTTTTTTAAAAAAGGGGTTAATTTTCAATGTGAAAACAAAGGGTTAATTTGAAAAAAAATGTGAAATGGTCAAATTTTGATTCAAATCATTCATTCATTCATCCTCATCTTCAGCTTCTTCGTCATCATCACCTTCATTTTTGTCAATCAAATCATCTTTTAATCTATCATCCAAATCATCTAATTCAATTTCATCACCTTCTTCTTTCATTAATTCATCAACATCAATTATACGACCACCAATATTAATCTTACGATCAGGTGGTATTTCATAAACAATACCATTAATAGTAACTTGTTCACGAACTTCCAATTTAACATCTTCATCTTCATCATTATCATCATTATTTCCATTTTCTTTTAGTTTAACATCATCATTAACATTATTATTAATATTGTCATCACCTTTTGTCGCCGTTTCACCTGTTGGATTAAATAAATCATTTTCATCACCATCACCATTTTCAATTGTAATATCTTCTTCAAGTTTTAAAAATTGAAATAATTGATCATTATCGTTTGCATTTTCTAAATCTTCATAATCCTAGAATAAAAATTGAAACAGAAAAAAAAGTGTTTAGAAAATGTTAATTTTTCTTGTCAAACAACAGCAGAAAAACCTACACCACAATATTGATCTTCATTAAAAAATTGTGGTGGCTGTGGTGGTGTTGATTCATTACGACGTTTAGCCATTTGTAACATAATTTCTTTTTGTTTTTCCATTAATGGATCAGAAATATCAATCAATTCATATTTTATTTTATATGAATCCAATAAAAATTGTGCACGAATTTGATGTTTTTTAACCTTTTTTTTTTTTTTTTTTAAAAAACGAAAAAAAAAAAAATTTTTTTTAAAAAATTAAAAAAAAAAAAAAAAATTAAAACTTACT